AGGCAATTGTCAAATCCTCTTGATGAAGTTTGTTGTGGAAACCGATTTTAATAGTGGTGGTGAGAGTTCTCCTATTCGAACTGAAGATATTGGCTTCGCATCACCTCAAAGGGACTCTTCAGTCAACTCAACTTTCAAGGAGAATTACAATCTTGGTGGCTCTGTGAAAGTATCTAATATAGATACAACTACTAATTTGGTTGTTCCTACATTGACTACCATCCCTGAGAAGACAAAGGTCATACCACCTAAGGTATCGATGGCTAAATCCGTTTCGAAGGAGGTTCAAACATGAGAAATCACTATGAACATATCTCATATGGACACAAATGTCAACAAGGGTGAAGGGTGAAGATTTTAGAAGCTACAGGTAAAACTTATGTTGGAAACTCATCAGTTCCAACACCAATAATTGTTTCATCTATTTTCAAAAACTTCATTTGTTGATACTTCTACATCTTTACCAGTTTTCTCTTCACCTATTCCATCTTTGTTACCTGCCTCATCCATCTCACCTACTTATTCCAACATCATGAATCAACCCATTACTTCTCTTTTCTCTTTGCAATCAACCAAGGGTGAAAAATTAGTTTGTAACGAAGATCATGATGAAGATGATGTGATGATTTTGTTTGTTGAGATTCATTTTGATCCAGAGGAGGATAACATTCATGATCATATGCTGATGTCAGGAAAGTAGGTTAAAATTTTAAATAATAAATTTAACTCCTTGTTACAGATTGAGGCTGATACCGGGGGTCGAAATACTGTATATGGGATTGAGGTTGACATGATGTTGAAAACACACGAGAATCGCTTGAAGTTAGACATGGAGAAAATTGAAAGGCAACATGAAGATCGTTTGAAGCTTCATGCTAGAAACTTTGAATATGAAGTCCAGAAGCTTCGTAGTGTAGCAAAGGAATGCCACATTTTGTTTGTTGAAGAAATTAAGAAAGTGCAAGAGTTTGTTAATGCCAAGGTGGAGTACCTCAAATCTGAAATGTTAAAGGAGATTTCCAAGATAGAACAAAGTCATTCGAGTTTGGAAGGAAATATTGATATTGTTGTTGAAGCTATCAAGAAACTTGTGGAGTATTATACTTCCTTTGCTTCCAAGTCTGATGTTAAGACTGATTCTGATTCAAATGTACTTGATAAGTTGGCAGAATTTTTAGGAAGCTTGAAAGAATCACTTTTGAAGATTGCTACTTCCCATTGCATTTCAGTTTCTCAGGATTCCTTGTCTCAAATGTTTTCTTCCTTTGAAACAATTATTAAAGATAAACTTGCTCCTCTTCTAAAGCTTGTCAATCTGATGCCAACAAATTCCCCAACTGTCAAAATGGTGGTGCAAGGCGGAGAAAAGAAGGTTGGATCTTCGAAGGATCCTTCTTAAGGAAAGGTTGTAGAGAAGGTGATATCAACACAAATACCAACATCTCTTCCTATCTCTATGTCAACAACCTCAACCATAATGACTTTGAAGCCATTAACCAAAGGCAGTGTCATTGGTTCTACTCCTGGGGGATCGAGTTCAGAGCCTCCACCATCGAAGGAAGAAATAGAAAACAAAGGGAAGAGTATCAAGGTCAATCCTTAGGAAGAAGATAAGAAGAAAGCTTTGGAGAAAGAGATAGAAAAAGCAAAGACAGATCAATAGCATCTTGAAACAAAGGCAAGGTGACCCACCATGTCTTGGCAAAGGAGATCCAAACAAACAATATTGTTACTAGAAAATTGAACAAATTGTTTCTCCTTGGAATATGTATGATTTTAAGAAAGCACCGAAGAAGATTTATGAGATAGAGAATTCATATTTCAACCAACAAGATTTTCCCATCAATCGCATGATGTTTATCTCAGCTCAATATCAATTGGTGGATAAGTTTGAAGATAAAGAGGGGTACAAGAAGTTAAAGTTGAGATTCCATGTTGTACTTGGAAAGAAGGAAGAGGAAGTCTGGTCCTTGGTAAAAATTATTAAAGTGTTGAATAATTCCAAGGATACACTGTTTGAAGGCTTGTTGCAGAACTTTCGATGTCATGTAGTTCTTGATAACAATGTGGCATGTGAATTCTCAATGGCAGACTTTCCCTTTATGAATCTGAATGACCTCATTTCTATTATGAAGACATTGAGTGTTATTGATGTATCAAAACTTCAAGCTACTAGTAAAGAAGATTTTTTAATTGGTTTTGCACATATCAAGCTATTCATAGACAATTACTATGATTGTTTATCTTTTAAAAATGTCGAACTTGCTTTGGCAATGGGAATTACAGTGATAGTACCTCAATCCATGCTCAAAGGTCAAGGAAGCCTCAAGAATTTTGAAGACCGGGAGATATGTGTTAAGCCTTTGGTGTTGTGTTTGTTGGGAAGCATAAGAATTATAAGATTACAAAGTTTTTATTTCAATTTGATGATGTAGAGAAATACACGAACTTACAGTACACAAATCTTCTTGTTCGTATTAATAATTGCAAAAGGAATATAGCAGGAGAAAAGGCTGAGATCTGAAAGACGATTATGTGGTACACAGAGATTTGCATGGTACTTCATCAAGCCACTAAGATGCTAATGACATAGATTCGACACTTCTCACAAAGGGGGATAATATAGAGTTCGAAATGTGTGGTGAGGTATCAAAGTACTTCTGGCTTGATCACTTTTGAAGTTTGTATTGTATATTCGAATGTATATACTTAATAAGGGAATTTTTAGGGTTCGAAGTGTATGGTTGTAGCCCTTATGTATTTTTTGTTAGTTTGCATTGTTCCTATAAATAAGGATACGTATAGGAGTAAGAGTAACTTTTGGCACTTGGTGTAATTTACTCTTTCGTTCTCTTGTATCCTTTCAGAATCATTAATAGAGCCAAATAGATCATATTTATATTTCGTGTTCTTAATTCAATTTGTACTCTAATTTTGTTTCATACACTCGATTCATACGAACTACACTGTAGAAAAGACGTAGTAACCTGGGAGCAGTTTGTGGAACGATTCAAAGAAATATAGTAACATCCCAAAGTTGAAGACAAAAAATTTCGTTTTTAGTTTAACAATTCATAAAACCAATAGTAATAAAACATCCATAATAAAATCACATGTCGGAACCAAAGTGTCAATAATCAAAACAAGTTATCATAAAACAATATCAGAGTGTAATCCCAAAGATCTCATGTGCGGAAAACATAGTGTGATCCGCTGCGATCGAGCCGGCTCCTTTCCTTTGAAAACGAAGTACCTGAAACCAAAACTTAAAATCGTAAGCTCGAAGCTTAGTGAGTTCCCCCATCATACCACATACCATACATAATGCATATTGTATAACATATCCGGGTACTAGCTATCCTTTCGGTCTCTTTCAACTGGTAGCTTGCCTGCTATATCAGGGTACTGGCCTACCCCTTCGGTCTTGTCGACCGGTACCTTACCTAGCATATCAGGGCGCTGGCCAACCCCTTCGGTCCTATCGACTGGTACCTTGCCTAGCAAATCAGGGTGCTAGCTTACCCCTTCGGCCTAGTCGACCGATACCTTGCCTAGCATATTAGGGTGTTGGCCTACCCCTTTGGTCCTGTCGACCGGTAACCTTGCCTATCATATCAGGGTGCTGGCTTACCCCTTCGGTCCTTTCGACCGGTACCGAGGACTATTTCACCCCCTACTCTACCACACAGAATCCTAGTGCATAAACATATAAGTCATATACTATTTAGCTTGTCTAAGTACTAGCATACCCCTTCGGCCCTATCAACCAGTACTAGGGTCTATCCTACCCCTCCTATCACATATCACATAACATCATAGCATACAAGCACATAAGCATAACACATAACAACATGCCAGATAATTATCACAAAGACAATTATCTCTACTATAAATCTTACTAATGGGTCGGCCATGGTGCCTTAGACTCACTTCTACTGGAAGGCAACTCACCTTTAATGCTAAAACTCACTGTCCAAACTCCCCAGCTGCTGCCCTGGCGACTTCCCAAACTAACAAGTACCAACACAAAATCCAATTAGCCATTAAGTTCTTAACCATGAACCATAATCCAAATCTTGGGGTAAAATGACCATTTTACTCCTAGCCCAACAAGACCATAACTAAGGCCCAAAACTATATAATCTATAAAAACCCATTAATGGCCTAATTTTCCAAATTGGGCCCAAACCCTTACAAGGGCCTTTCCCTAAAGCCCATTTACTTCTCTAAATCAATGATTTTTCCAATGGCTTAAAGGTCCAAGCCCATTGGGCCCAATCAAGGCCTAACTGTGTTGGGCCCACTAAGGCCCAATTCATCATCCAAGGCCCATTAGGGCAAGCCCGACAAGGCAAGCCCAACCAGAAGTCCATTACTCTAAAATCCTTAGCCCATTATGAGCCCAAACCAAAGGATAAGTCCAATACCAAGCTAGCCCACAATCAAAGAGCTCAAAACTTGCTCAGATGATGCTCACATCGTGAGCACCTTATGCTCACGTTGTGAGGTCGTGATTTTGGCCCAGAAACTTCCTTGAATACGCTTTCATGTCGTGAGGCTTCATTCCTCACGTTGTGAGTTCAAATCTGACCAGAAAATGAGCGTTAAGCTTCTAATCCATTAAGCCTTAACATAGGATAATCTAGAGGGTTTTCCTTGACCCCCTGGACCATAAAAATCGAAGCTTTTTAGTCACATATTTCCAATACATGACTTAAACACTACTTAGGTCAAAAGATGGGTATAAACATCAAAATTCAAACTTGGAGTCCATAACTTGCACCAAAGTCCAGATCCAGGCATTCTAATAAAGAAAATGACTCAATGGTTCACAAAGTAGCTAACTTTATGAGCATCATGCTTGGTAAGCCAAGATATCATGCAAAGAAGGTAGCCAAAACCTAGATCTATCAACCTCAAGTGAAAAAGGTAGGATATTTATACCTTACTGGAGCTCACAAGTTCAGCTAGTCCACAAACATGAGCTTATCTTGCCAAAATGAGTCACCACAAGAGCTCCTTCTTCTTTTTCTTCTTCTTCAAGGGAATCAAAGCACGATTAGCACACCAAAACCACCAACAATAGCTCAAGAGCTCAAGAGGGCCGAATCTAGGGTTTTTCAGTGACTTGGGAGTGAAAGAGGCTGAGGAGAAGCAACCATAATCATCTCATACCTTTAAATACCCGAAAATTGGTTTTGGTGCATTAGGTGCGTCTCACGCCATGAGCACTTCATGCTCACGTCGTGAGCCTTAAATGAGTTTGGTCAACAAGTCATCGATCACTCACCCGAACCACTCTAACTTCAAACGGCCATAACTTCTTCGTTTCAATTCCGTTGTTGACGTTCTTTATATCCACGGAAAGGTGGAGAGAAGCTCTATACATCTATCAACTTATCCTCACCTCAAAACCTTCTGAACAAAAATCCAAAATTCAGAAAGAGCTCAAACAGCCACTTTACCGATTTACCCCTTGGATCCAAAACACAACCCAAACTCCCGGATCACCTCAATTACATTATATGCACCTAAATGGGTCTACATCTCTCTTTTCCAAAGGCTCTCAGCCTTATAATAACCCATCTTCAAGCCACAATCCCGAAATAGAAAAGCGATTCAGAACAGAACGTTACGCCTATAGCCACTACTACGCCAGAAGACACCCACCCATGTTTGGGGCGGTGTTCACGCGTGGTTTTCTTTGTCTCATACAAACTCACTCTATACCGAAAGGCCTTAACCTAAAATATATAAATACTAAAAGAGCCAAACTAGTTTTACATTATTAACCCTACACACAATAAGCCACCTACGTATATCATTCATTCCAAAGTTAAGATCGACCTTAGCCACATTGGCTTCAACAAAAAAAATATTACATTGTTTTCTATCAATCTCACAAGTTACATTTTTTTTTTCGTAAATGACAAAACAAATATTAAAATATAAATTAATAAGAAAGCTAGAAAATTAAAATTACACCAACAATAGAATTTATGAGGGTTTTCAAAAATTTCTTTTTAATTACGAAAGGATGCATATTAAATTCATAACAATTTATTAATTCATGTAAGTAACAATATTCTGATTAAGGTGAATTGTAGTAATTAAGTAGTGTTGTGAAAACATTGGTTTATATTTATTTGGATTAATTGGAAATCTTTAAAATACAAAAAACCATCTCTTTATTGAATGGTTGCTTTCATTTTGAGTATGCCAAAAAGAATAAAATCACCAATAAAAACAACAAAATATTAGTTGTCAACAAATATTGGTTTTCAAATTTTCTTCTAAGTATTGTATTTTTTTTTAAAATATAAAATAAGAGTTGTCCTCTTTTACTCGCTTATAGGAAAACGTTTAATTCTTTTGAACTTATTAATAAAATAGACTTCT